TCTGTCAGAGAATACCTACCTAGCAGCATTGTGAGTTTTTGTTTTTCTTTCATTATCAACAGTGTTGAAGGATGTAACACAGAAAATAAGGTGCAGAAACCTAATTTTGCAGGTTAGAATATGGCCACGAAACAATGGTGTTTATTGAAATAGCAGCTGTGTTAGGAGCCAGAACACTACCAGCACCATGAAATTACCTTCCTACCAACCATAATTAAGTCCCATTTGTAAAAACTATAAATAAATTTTGGATCCCCATGAGTATTGGATAAAGCAATTAGTATGTATAAGTAACTGTAATAAAATAATAAAATGCATTTTCCATAGGAAAATCGTCTAAAAACTCCAGCTGACAGTCCAAGAAAGAGCAGACATCCAATAATCAATATACCTTTAAAAAGGTAGCCAGGCTCATCAGTCATTGGAGAAGTACTAAGTAAAACTGTGCTGTAATACTGCTTCACAACACCACAACTACTAACACTTTCAGGAAAAGAAAGACAACTTATCAGAGTTTCTGTTACATTTTAAAGGATCACTCAATAGATCATTTGTCAGATATATGCAGAGATAACAAATTTCTACAGCAGGTATATGTAAGGAAATGAATTTCCTTTCCTGAATTTGTTCATACACAGGTAATTTTGTCTTTTCTGCTTTTCTGAAGTGAGATCCAACAAAATTGCCCCTTTGTGGCTAAGCTATCCATGGAAATACTTCGGAGCTTGAGAGGGTAAAATTTGATTTAAAAAAGTTTCTGTATTTGTATGATGTAAAGTATGACTAATAAAAAAGAGTAATGATAGCAATAACCCTTCAAAATAAGATTGTGTGTTATTGTTATTACTTTTAGTTATTATTATTTTTAAAATGTATTTGGTTGCTGCAGTGTCTCACTACTCAGCTCGAACTCATACTGATCCTTCTGCTTCAGCCTCCCCAGCATTGGGATTACAGGTATGGGCCACCATGCCCAGACTCTGTGACCAACTCAGCTCACCTTAGGGGCTGGGCTGGCATGGCATGTGGTGCCTGGGACAGAACCGCAGTCCCTGTGCTTGCCTAAGCTGGCCTGAGCAGGCGCTTTAGTCCACTGAGCTAGCTCGCTGGCCCCGTGTGCTTTCTTTTTTTTTTTTTTCCGTGTGCTATTTTTAACACCATTGGTTTTCCTTAGAAATGAAAACTATGATTTTCATTGGCTATGCACAGCGGGTGTGAGTGTGTAGAGAAACTGTGGAGAGAACTGGGTATCCCAGCTGATGGCTGCTCCTTAAAACTCTGAATGTACTGTCTTCTACGTGAGCAAAAAGGGCCAGCGAGAGCTCAACAGCAAAAGCACACAGGGACACTTCACTGAAATCACGTATTTTGCTAGAGCCTTACAGGAATTCTCGACTCCTTTATTCCATGGTAGTGTGATAGGCTCTGTGTGTTGTTTCATTGTTCTGCTTTTTTATCAGGTTCTTACACTAAAGGAGTAGAAATAAACATTCTGTGGAAATGTGACAGAGATTGGTGGCTTATAACTGTCTTCTTCTCTCCTCTTCCTTTACTCTGTGCATTCTCTGTGAGGCAGGCGGAGCCCATGAATCACCCTCTTCTAGAAGCAGCTCGGGGTGAGTCACTTCCCTGGAGCGCTGGGACAGGCCCTCCTTCCTCTCCCACACTGCCTTTAACCCGTGCCTCTCCCTCGGATGTTAAGGAGAACATACACAAACATTCCTCAGCTTCCACAAACCCACTCTGCACTATTGTGGTGGTGGTGGGGGGGGGAGGATCCTAATGTACTTTTCACAGAAACATTCCTGTGAGACTGACCTTCTTATCTTTTTATGGTTGGGACTTTCCCTTGCCTGTAAGAGTTACAGCTGGAAATTCATTTGGAAAGCTGTTCTTTCAACTGTTTTCTTAATTATACCCAAGTTTTGCGTTTCTTGTTGTTGCTCTATGTTCACTGAAGCATTCAAGTCCACATACGTAAAGCAGTTCTGCTTGACTCATGCTTCTGGGATCAACAAGGATAAAACAAAATGAGACTGTATATTTCTTGTGGGTAGCTTAAGTTTTTTTTTTTTTTTTTTTTTTTTTTTGCGGAACTGGGAATAGAGCTCAGGCCCTTGTGCTTTCCAAGGAAGCTCTTATTCCACTGAGCCATCTCCCTGGTCCCTAATTTTTTTTTTAAAGACTTCATTTCACAGAGTGTTAGATGTGTTCCCACATTCCCATTGCCAAAGTTAGGAATATCAATACAAAATGAAAACAAACCAGAATTGTATAATTATCTTTTCCCTTCTCAGCTGACAACATAAGTATGGTATTAGGATCCTAATCTACATCTGTCGAGATCAATTTGCAATGATGTCAATCAAACTAATTAGTAGCTAATTAGATATTTATTTTTAGCCCCTACATGAGACAAGTGCTAAAAGTACAGACTGGCATTTTCCATATTCAGAATAGATGATCATCCAACTGCAAGACGTACTGGTTTCATTGAAATGGACATTGAGAACGTAGAATGTGTTACAAATATTGCCTATCTTAAAAAGGTACTTTGTGGGCTAGTGAGATGGCTCAGTGGTCTAAAGCACCTACTTAGAACAAACTAAGCTAAGCAAAGCACAGGGACCGCGGTTCAATCCCCGCCCCCTGGTGGGCTGAGCTGGCCACACACAGACACAAAATAAATAAATATTAAATAACAT